AGGCATGCCTTTTTTGTTCACTTCTCCCTTCCCTTTTGTACATCTGTGACCTAAGAAAGCATGTTCTTTTACTTTATAAGCTACTTAGAAAACTCTATTTTCAATTAAGCTCTATTGATTTGGAGAATATAAAAATTCATCATCCTTGTAAACTAGGGGGAGAGAAATCCAGGATTTTGTCTCCAATGTTTGCTAAAATACAAATGAAAGAGAAAAATTGGGGTAAAGAAGAGAACCTAAATCAGAGAGGCCATTCACACGTTACTATAATATATATATATAATATATAAAGATCAATTCTCTCGCTCTCTCACTCTGTCTCTCTGTCTGTCCATGTATACGTACACATAGTAAAATGATTTACATTAGATTTCAAGAGTTATTCCATGATACTAAGTGAGGTTTAGGAACAGCAGCTTGTTGAGGGGTCTAGGATAGTAACCATTCTGGGGATCTACATTCCCAGAACAAGAACACTTTTGTTTTGACATGCTCACTTCTGGTGCTGGAAGGAGCATGGCTAGAAGTTGCTAGTGAAGTTGGCCTCAAAAGAACATAGTGGTATTGCAGCATGAACAATTAAATTTTCAATCCTTCAGTTAAATACTTTTATCATCTACCACAGACAATATAATATATGAATGGTTCTTTCTTACTTTGGGGGATGTAAAAGCAAATTTTAGGAAACTACATGCAGGGGACTGATAAATTCATTATAATACTCCATTTGTTTAAGCTATTTTTCTCTCATTTTCTAATTCTAAGTATCAGATGCAAATACAAGATGGTTTTATTCAGTAATCAAGACTATTCTTAGAGGTACTAACGCAATTTCTGAATGTAAACATTTGTACTTAGGAAGAGAAGTGATCTCATATCTACTTTAGTGGTTTATAAAAAAGGAATTAGATAAGTACCAGGGTATGAAATAAGTGATGGGAGTAAATTCAAGCATATTTTTGCTCTCCAATAAACACATAATTTGTGTGCTTGTAATCTTTACAAAAAGCACTATGAAAGCCACAGAGGAGAGAAAGATTCAGCAAAAGCACAAGTACAAAGATAATTCACTTAATGAATGAACCAGCCAGTCAAGGGCTATCATTTCTGATAGGACTGTTGTCGTCCTTTGTGCTGTGGCTCGTGAAATAAGTACAGTACATGAGACACTGGTTGAAAGAACCATTTTAAAAATAATTTTCCTGGCAGACATGGTGGCACATGCCTGTAATCCTAGCACTCGGCAGACTGAGGCAGGAGAATCACTATGAACTGAAGACCAGGCTGAGCTACCTAATGAGTTCAAGGCCAACCTGAACCACATAGCAAGACTCTGGCTCAAAATAATAATAATAAAAATAATACTTTTCCTAATATTTTACTTTGATTATTAACCCAAATCCAAGGAATATTTTTATATTCAGACATGCAGACATGGATACTTGGCAACTTTTACTTATTTGCTTAATGTGTTTTCTGGCAATTTCAACTGTGAACCTATAATATCCATCTGTTTGAAAGGGTAATTGTTTAGCAGCTAGAGCCTTTATTTTTACAACACATCCTCCGGAGTCTATCTCAACCTGCTTTGAATTAAATATTCTAGCTAAGCATCTGATGAAATATATTTTAGACACATGTTAGACATGACGGCCTGTCACTCAACATTAATTTCTATGCCTTTCAAGTGCATACACCTCTACCTCTAGGGCCAGAATCCTATAATCACTTCCCAGACTCTCGAAGCTAGAATTCTGGGCATGGATCAGGCTCTAACCAGTGAGAAGAGCTGAGGAGAGGGAGGTGGAGGGTACCCAAGAAAAGAGGAAACAGGAGGTGTCCAAGGATGATGTTTGTGAGCTTGCTTTTGTTGTTGGTAGCAGTATTCAGGCACTAGCTTTCTGGAGTGGAGAGGCACTTTGCAGTAGCTCCTCTGATGACTGGAGTACAGCCAAACAGCATGCTCTTGATGTCAGCAGCTCCACTGGTGACTTGATTCCCAGCTACCAGCCTACAGCCATGGGGGCAGTACCCAGAAGCCAATCAAGCCAAACTGCCTGGGAGTCATCCTATGAGGCAAAGCCAAGATCCTCTCCTCTCTTCTAAAGGGCATCCTTCCCTTCCAATCTTCTTGAAAGTACCTCACTCCCACACTGAGCTCTGTTCTACCTAAAGGAGCTCACACAGCTTCCCTGACCTGCAACTTGACTGATGAGAAATAGAAGAGAGACATTTGAGCGTTAAGTACACCAAGATGGCCAGAAGCTTAGCAGAACCATGAGAGGAGAAAAGACTGTGTGTACCTGGCACCCACAGTTATGCAGTGAAGAACAAGAAGGTCACAAACCAGACCACCGAAGACTAACTGATCAGACTAACAACCCTTTAGGGCCCGGGTATAAGGCGAAATCATTATCAGGAAGAATGAGAAACAATCAGCGAGATCTCTAGAAAAGGACAAAGAGGAAAAGGAAACTGTTGGGGACTATGAATTATAAATTGGGTCCAGAGGAGGTCTAAAGCTTGTTCTTCCCTGTCCTTGAGCTAGACGGGAACTGGGAAACTCCCAGATCTTTCCTGGTCATGGATGGAGGGCCCACGGTTAATAACTGCTGCAGTGCTCACAGGGCAAGATAAGATCTGCTGCAGATGATAAGGCGTTTGGGGACACTACGGTTTCCTCATCGCCCCGTCTCATCCAGTCCTTGTCCTTGCAAGAATGTTTTGTTCTTACCAGCCTACCACAGTCACCCTGCTGTTCCCAGAAACACCCACTGCCCTTCACGCACTGTCCTTTGACTCAGATATAATAAATAAATATCACGGTCTGGGTACCTGGTGGCCTTTTGTTCCCTGAAGCAAGCTGTCATCCCAGGTCCCTGCCTGCACCCCTATTTTGTGTCTTGCTGTCTTTCTTTCTGTTGTGTGCCATAACACTTGGCAGGAGTCTGAGGACTCACTGCAGGGATCCCCAATAACTGGCACAGTGGAAAGGGTTACTAACAGGAAACAAAGAAAAACAGGAAGTACCAGCATGCATGTGGGAAAGAGGATCACACACCAGATCTCTCACAGACCCCGAAAGAGCAAAGCGCCCTTGCTAAGGCAGCTTCTTGCCACCTTCTGCAGCACAGGTATCAGCATCGCAGGCCTGGGCTCGGGGTTTCCCAGAGACTAGGACACACGAAGCGAATCAGTTCTGACGACTCTGTAGACTCAAATGACGTACATGTATATGTGTGTGACAGAGACACAGTATGAGGGCTAGAAATATATATATCATGAATTTTAAATAAAAAGCTACTAGATTTTAAAAAGAAAATAAAATTAGTTGAAAATTTTTGTCTGCATGTTGTTTGTTTGCTGCGATGTGGTGCCAGCCCAGCTTTTGCAATGCTGAGTACACGCCCTAGGACTGAGCTACACCCCCAGCCTCATTCGGTTCTAAAGTCAAATGAATCAAATTATGATAAATATTGGTTTCAATTCTGATCAGCTAAAATAAGAGTGCAGTTTCCTTCTTATAATTCAATTATCCGGGGGAAAAAAGTCTAAGGCCAGACATTTACACAAAACAGGAGTTCCACTATAGTACAAGTTTACATACACGAAAAGAAAAACACGTCTAACGTTCGGGCCTCCTGCTCCAGCCGCAGTTACACAGTGTCACTTCGGTCTTCAAAGACGCCTGTTCTCTCCGTGGTCTTCCCCAAAACACACACGCACACCTGCAGACTCCCCTCCATATTAAACGCTGCCCCTCCACCTATTCCTCAGGCAAGCACTCCTGACATCCTTCCTTCCGCAAGTCACATTCCCTGGGGCTGCCTCTGTCCATTTGTAGTTGCTAAAACTGAACACTCCTGACCAGATGATTTATAGAGGACCGATATTTATTTACCACACATGTCTGGCGGCTGTGAAGTCTGGGAGCACCAAACCAGTACCTGCCAGTCAGCATGCGGCGGGGGCCCCGCTCCCCAGAACACACTATAGTTACTTCTGTGGCGACGGAGGGCATCACTGGACAACACAGAGTGCCCGTGCTAAGTTGGCTCCCTCTCCGTCTCTTAAAGCTGGTAATATAATTATGAGGCCCACACCTACAAACTCATTAAGCCTAACTTGCTTCCAAGGCCCTGCCTCCAAATATGACATACGACTTTGGGAACTCAGTTTCAACGTATTCTGGAGTTTACACACACAGTCCTTGACATTGTTTCTATATGACTTAACATGGGTTTAATTACAGGTTTACCTGCTTATTGCCAGCTAACATGAATTTTGCAAGGAAGAGGGTCAGGACTGTTTTTCTGGCTTTTAGTACCTCAAATGCCTTGAAAATGAGCCACTGAAAAGCAGCATTGCTGCTTCCTTCCAAAAGTCCAAATACTCTACTCTGTTTCTAAATCATGAAGGATACGCCCCATCTTGTCTAACTCCAGGAAATACTATCATATTATCAGGACTTTAAGAAATAGTAGGGGCTGGGGATTTAGCTCAGTGGCATAAGCATCTTCCTTGCAAGTGTGGGGTCGTGAGTTCGATCCCAGTACTGATAAAAACGAAAAAGACAAAAAAAAAAAAAAAATAGTAGTAAAAGCCACTTAGGCAAATGTTTAAAATCTATTTTAGAATTTCAGTTGGCCAGCTTCTCCCTCCATCTACCATCTACTTCACCATCATCTCCAAAAATAATCACAAGTGGCCTCTTTAACCTAGATAAGTCAAAGGCCTGTCTGAGGTGGAGGAGAGGCAACTGTGATGGTGTCAGCTTCCAGCTTCCAAAGAACTCAGACTGCTACATGATATAAGGGATGACTCATTTACTCAAATATTCAATTCGAGAGCCAATTATGCATCCGCCCCTCTGCAGCCCCCTGAGGACGATAGTACGTTAACATCCCTCCAAGTCCTGTTATAACCACTCTTTAAGACAGCTCACAGTGTGCCAACAGCATACTCAGCATTTTACACCCATTACTGCATTCACTCCTCACCTGAGGAAGTGCCATTAGCTCTACATCCCATCTGGGGACACGGCTCTGAGCTGGGCTTCACTCCAATTGATCTTGCTCAACATGCCTTCCTGGAGTGGCTGAAGTTTCTCTGAATGAGAAAAAAGTACCCAAAATGAATGACATTAACGGTTAGGAACATCCCTTATCTAGGGGTTTTATCCTATGCTCCCTCTTATGCCACCAAGAAAAGAGAATCACAAAAGCTAACATTTAATTGGCCACTGAGCACCACTATGCTTTCAGCCTTACCAGGGACCAGTGTATTCTGGGATCAGATTCACGATTTAGTTCCTTTGATTTGTCCTTAAATTCTCCAGTTATATTAAGACATTCACGCCACTCTTTTCAGAATACTTTCTTGCTTATTTATGAGTAAAATTGTAAGATTGCACAAACAAGTGGCTCACAGCCTAATTTAAGAATCCATTATGCCACAGGCTGATTGCAAAGTTTTCATTCAGTTCCTATTTAAAAATAAAAACCAGCATATCAACATGCAGTAAACACAAGGATTCAGTTTCATTTGTATGAAACTTATTTATCCACCTTTATTTCCTGTGTACTGCAAGCACGTCTGGTCTGTGTCTCCTTCAAAGCAATGACAGTGCCTTCGCCATGATGTGCTTCAATTTTCAAAGGTTCTCTGTTCTTTCAAGTAAAGTGCACTTAAGTATTCACATACCCATCTTTCAGCAATACTATAGGTAATGTCTGATTAACACCTCTTCTTTACAGTCCTCTTAATCCCAAGAGAGATTTGGTTTAGAAAATAAAATTTAAGCAAATAGAGAACTGAGATTTACCAGGCACCCTCTCCCCAAAATGCAGAGGTAGAATTAGTTTACTATGAAGACAAAACATGTTCAATGCTATCATCCTTCTGCTAAGTAAAATTCTATTAAAACCTCTGAACTACTACATTGGTGCTTTCATTCTATTAAAATACACACAGAGAAGAACAAAGTGTTTCCAAAGAACAGCATTACAGTAATTGAATCTTTCTAGAAATACAATTTGTTTTGCATTAGAAAAAGCATCCAGAGTTCCTTTTTCAAATGCAGAGATTCTCCAGAGCAGTTTGTCTTGGTGAGGAAATAACTTCCAACCTGTCAAGGTCTCCTTTAAACAAGTCACCTGCAATCCAAGGCACCAGAGAGCTGCCTCTCAAGCCATCCTCCCTCTGAGCATCTCTAGGTCAGCACTGAACACTAGAGCTGTTTACACTGCGTTTTCAGCCAGGCATCAAGGACAGAAAAACCTACAGCTCTCCCTTGGCTAAACTTCAAAATAAATTAACCATCCTCTGGCCAGGAAGGTAAAGGATTCGACTTGTTACTGAGTCACATAAATAAGGGTACTTTCAGCTGCTGAAATGAAGGGTTAAATGCCAGTTGTTATTCGTAAAATAAGCAATAATTTTAATCTCTGGCTCTTTCTCCACAAAAAGTTTCCAACGTCCATTTAAATTCATCCACACCAACTAATATAAAGCTTTGCTCACAGCTATCTGCAGCCTTATCCTCTTTTTACAGAAACTGCAATAGGCTCCTATCATTTGTCTCGGAGAACCCAAGTCATATAAAAAGCCACAAAGCAAGTAACATTACAACAAATCTCATCGTTTTGTTCTGGCATTCCTTCTTAAAAACAGTATTTTCATGGTCAGCTTTGAAAACTTTCTTGCTTTGAGTTATTTTAGCTTGGTGCCTGCCGCTAGTTAAAAATCAATTCCCAAATGGTAGCTTCTAAAGAGAAAGATACACGTGCACTCACGAAAACACAAATTCATGTGCACCTTTAGGCCACTAAACATAGCCCCTTGGCCCTGGGCTTGATACATCTTCTCTGCCACAGGAGATGAAGCACATCTCGAAGCTCTTTCTGCACCGAAAGCTCGCCTGTTTTGGTCGCCTCTAAGTTTGCAAGAAAACCGGGTCACCTAAGGCCACGTGAGGGGCCGAGGAGGAGCAGGAAGCTCCCGCGGCGGTCAGCCCCCTCGCCCCGTCCTCCCCGGGGCCAGGGAGCGGCAGGCGCTGGCGGAGAAGGCGCTCCTCACCTCTTCTCTCCGGGTCGCCGGCGCTTCCTGCGCGGTAGCGGGGACCGAAGAGTTAAAATGCCTTCCGGGAGCTGGGCGAGAAAGCGCTCTTGCCTCCGATGCAACGGAGCCGCGGGCTGTACCAGGTGTAACTTCCACCCCTTGACCTGATTTGGAGCGTGAGAACGAAAGGAAGGGGGGGAGGGAAAAAAAAGAAAAGAAAAACAGACGGAGGGCGCGAGCGCGCGCGGCTGCGGGGGCGCGCGGGGCTCCGGCCAGAAGTTGCCGGGAGGCCGGAGGCCGCCCGCTGCCAGCCTCGCCGGGCCCTCGCTGGGCAAGCTCCCCGCCGCCGCGGCCCAGGTCCCGGCTCCGCAGCTCCCGAGCTCCGGCGGGGACCCCGGCGGAGCGCGATCCCGCCTCCCCAGCCCGCCCTCACCTCTTGGGAGGGGCGCTCGCGCTCCGCAGTCCCGAGCCACAGTCGGGGCGCCTCCGGGCGGGCGGGCGGGCGGCGGGCTCACCGCGAGCCCCGGAGCCGGCCGGCGCCTCCTCGCTCGGTCCCCTGCGAACGCCCAGCCCGAACGTGCCAGGGAAGTGAGGCTCGCTGGCGTCTTCCCTACCTGGGGATCGCTGTGACCTTCGGGCCTCCTCCCCTCGTCCTTCTCTGACCTCCTAGGAGGGAGAGGACGAGGAAGCTGGTGCACCTGGCCAGCCCACAGCTCAGCAACGCAGCGCCTGGGGTGACAGCACCACGAAGGATAGCTGTAATACCTACCTCAACTGAAATGTCCCCCGGCTGACGATCACAGGGCCTAGCCTGGGTGCCCTGCATGGATGCTCAGTTCTCTAAAACATCATGTTTAAAAGGTGGAAGTTTTGCCTAGTGTAGGACACAGACCACCATCTGTAGTAACAGAGTTAACTACTCCCGGCCAGATCTTTAGCTAATAACTTTCAACCTCTTTAGTGAACAATTCAGTTTTCATTAGGGATCTGTAAACTTTTAAAAATTCATATTCTCAATATTAGCACACCACTTTGCAGCCCTTTGTATCTGAGGTTATCCACGAGGAGGGAGGACTTCATGATGAACTCTTATTAGTCATGGAACTGTTATATGTCTCGCATAGACAACGGAATATTAAAGTGCTATGAGAACTGGTAGAGATCAGTACATATTTCCTGATTCAGGACGTTTTCTCGCATCGCAGTGTGCGGGGGGGTATGGTGGGTAAATTTTTGGCTTGGGTGTCTTTTATCACCATGTCAAGAATAACCAAAGAAAAAACCTCTCTTTTTTTCTATTTAAAAGGGGGAATTTTTTCTTCATGAGCCTGGATTTACATAGTCTTTTCCTGAGTAGAATGTTGGCCCATAGAAATGTTCATTTATTTTTTTTTTCCATTCAAGGTAGCTGTGACCACAGTACACAGGGTAAGTGTTAGCTATTGTAATATCCTAATGGTGCAAGACAAAGCACACCCAAATGGTATAGTGCCTGGAACACAGTAGGTGCCTAGTAAACACCCTCTGAATGAGCAGACAAAAATCTAAGCAGAAAGTGACCCCTTTTAAATTTTGCAGGAAAACATGAGGGAATCAGTTGTAGGTGATCAGGGAACTAATGCAGCGTTTTGGTATAAAGATTGGTAAAGGGGTAAAGTGCAAATAAACAATGCATTTTCAAGATGTGATAGTGGCAGAGGTCCTTAACCTTTTGTAGGGAATAGACTCCCCCCATCCCAACACAAACATGGTACGTCTGGATCACCTTATGTAATACAAAAGTGGTAAAAATACTCACATATGTTTTCTGGGAGTTCAGAGATGGGCTGAAGCAGATCTGTGGAATCCCTATAGCCTGTAATCTTAATTTACCAATTTCTTGTTTGGGAGCAAAGAAAATAGATTACATTAATAGGCTGTTGGTCATTGTGACAAAACAGTTTATGAAAGAGATTTATTTTGGCTTACTGTTTCCGAGATTACAGTCTATGGTTAGCTGACTGTGTTGCTTTTGGGCCTGTAGACAGGTAGAATATCATGGGGGTGGGGAGCACATGGTAAAGCAAACCTCATGGCAACCAGGAAGGGAAGTGGAAGAGGATGGGCTTTGAGATCAACCCAGGCTGATCTCAAACATGCAATAATCCTCCTGCCTCAGCCTCCCAAGTACTGGGATTATAGGAATGCACCACAATGCCAGGTACAACATTGCGTAATTTCTTTTACATTATTTTATGTATTGATATACTATATATTTATATATTCTATGTAGGATATATTATTACTCAGTGCTACCTATTATTATTCATATATATTATATATCAGTGATGACAAAATTATGACACATGTTATATGATTTTAAGACAAAAGATGTTAATGTGTAAACTATTTTTTAAAACTAAAACCTCAGTATTCAGGTTTAATTGTAATGTTGGTACTTTGCAATAAATAGGTGGATTTTGGGTTGCAGTGTGGACACTCATCTCTAGAGGGTTCACCATCTCTGCTGTATACCATTATAGGTTACTAGTCCATATGTTATTATTAAAATATATAGTTATCATTAGATATATCATGTAGCTAATTCAGTTCCTTCATCACCTAACTCTTGGCTTTGGCACATAAGTCTTAGAGTTGTAGGTGGCAGTTCAGGGGCCTCAGAGTACTTCTGTTGGTTGTTGTCACCTTCTGGGAATGGCAGGCACAGTAGAAACTTATATTCAGGCTGGCATTGTCCATCATGTGACTAATTAGATCAAGAGCTGGTACCCACCGGAAGGAACTATCTAGTTTGTTTCATGGTCTGTGAAGCAGTCACCTGCAAAACATTACTAGGTAGGTATTGTTGTAGTTTGGCATAGCTAATGCCATCTTGTGCCCTGTATTTGACCCAGAAGAATGGAAAATCACTCAGGGTACAATCCCATGAGAAAATCAGGATCAGCTGCACCCACAAGAGAAACATTAACCTGCTCAACAAAGAGGCAGGATTCAGGTGTCAACTAAAAATTAATGTAAAATTCTAGCTGAAGTGTTTCCAGCAGGATGTCTTTTTGGGGTTTTCTATTTTAAAAGCTTTGTAACTTTCCAGGTCAGGGCCACTAGGTGGGATCCTAAAACAGGGGTCTCTACATGAGTGGTCACTGAGCTCAGCTAATTAAATCCAAAATTTATCAATTCCTATATTATCCATGAAGCCACTTCAGGTATGTGCAATATTGGACAATGACAAAGTGACCCAATCAGGGCCTCATTTCCTGGGAAGTCTTAGAAGCGGGACCTGGATTTGAACCCAGATAGGGAGTGCTACAGCACGTGCACTCTAAAACACTTTGCTCACTGCCTTAGAAGCACAGACAGAATTAAACTGAGTCACATTCATGCCCAGGTCATGCTGCAGGAGCAGCAGGTGACATGGTGACTGCGGAACTCACCTCCGGAACTGCGTGGGGTGCCGTTTCCTCGAGAACCGTCCAGGACCTCTTGCGTTGTTTGTGACTGTAGAGGCCACTGTTTTCCCGTCGTTCCTCATGGAGCTTCCTAAGCACGTCTAGAGCAGCTCAGCTGTTTCTCTTCTCTGTAATGTGAACTGCTGCCCTACTATGGCACTGGGATGGCCGGCAGTGGAACAGGAAGTCTTTCCGTGGCTTTATCCCATATACAGGCCTGTTTTCCTCCTAACAAAAATGTAAAACATACCTTCTTAGGAAGTTTATCTTGGGGCTAGGGATTTAGCTCAGCGGCATAAGTGCCTGCCTGGCAAGTGTGAAGTTGTGAGTTTCATTCCTGGTATCCAAAAAAATAGAAAAGTTTATCTTATATTTCTGCAAATCAAGTTACACTTCCCAGCTTTTAAAAAATTTTATTTTAAAGGGAATAGAACAGAACAAAATAAAACAGAACAAAGCAGAGCCAAACAAAACAATGCAAGCAACATAGATTTCTTTTTTTTTTTGTTTGTTTGTTTGTTTTTAAAGTATGCATTTGTCAAAAATGAGTGCTTTGAGGGGTCTGTTTTTTTTTTTATTTAAAGAGAAAGAAACAAAAAAATACATGGAGATAAAAAAGGGTAGAAATAATACAGAATTACAGAAAAATAAACGGTAAGAAATCACCAGTTGATAAGTTATATATTGTCATCTTAGAAATAGCTGTTTAGGTTACAAAATTACAGTATGTAAAATGACATTCAAATAGTGACACTGCCAACAGTTCTGCTCAATGATCTAACAAAAACTTAGTAATATGGTTATCAGTCCTACACACTTGTTTTATATCTTAAAGAGGGTAAGATTAAACATATCAAAACAGAACAAAACAGTTAAAAAAAAACAATTTAAAGAAATACAGACTTCAAAGCAAGTCCACTGGAGATCTTCACTAGTTATCTAATTGTCTCTAGTTTCTTCCACATAGTTGTCCCCATCTTCATGCACATTAAATACATACTGCATATTATAGAACTAATCAAATCATTACAGGATGATGAAGGCTTTTTAGGTCTTCAAGATCTGACATTGGGGAAGACAATAATAACTACCATCGCGTCTCTCATTCTCTTTGTAGTAGCTGTCCTTGTCTTTACATATGCTGAAATTGAACTTGAGTGAATTGACAAGTGAATAATAATATTGCTAGATTTTATATCATAATGCTACAAAATTAGCATTGGGTTTCTTACTGTCTCTTCTTCAGAATATCTGTTCATTACATCTTGCATTATATAATCTGTTCCTGTAAATAGTTTTTTTAAAAAAATCTTCTCATGTGTGAATTTCTACATGTATATCTATCCTCTCAGTATTATAGGGGAAAACAAACCATAACAAGACAGCAAAACAAGTTCCTAGAAAAACATGCAATGAATAAGACACATAGGACCACAATATTAGGTGATCTACCATAGTTACTATGCTTTGTCTTGTTATTTTCAGTAGAATTGTCTACATCATCAGACATAATATAATTGAACATAGCATTACATAGCTATTTTAATTAAAACACCAGTTTGAAAACATTGTAGGACTTGAGAGCTGTTTTTATTTATTTATTTATTTATTTATTTATTTATTTTTTGGTCTTTTTCCTTTTTATCGGCACCGGGGATCGAATTCACGACTGCCTGCTTGCAAGGCAGGTGCTTATGCCGCTGAGCTAAATCCCCAGCCCCATTGAGAGCTGTTAATAATTAACACCAGTATGGTTATCTTTTACATCTTGTCATCTTCAGAGTAGTTGCCTCTACTTTTAGGGTTGATACTATCAAGCATACCAAATTCAAATAAAATCAGCCAAGGCAAAAATGCGGTCTTATGAATTGGATTCAAATAAGATCAGTCATAGTAAAACAATGTAAGTAATACAAGATATCAGTTTAAGTTA